ACTCGGGGCTCTTTAAAAAGTCTGAGTAAATACAGCATTGTGATGGTGTTCATGTGCACCCATCTCATAAATATGGCGTTTCCGACACGACTTCTTCCAGAAAAAAACCAGCATTCATCAGCGTTTGTTGTGTTTTGGGTGCTGGTATGCTGGTCAGCAGCAGTGGAAGCTTCATGCTGATTACCAGCAAAATCAGCATATGTAGTGTTTTTGATGTTGGTATGTTGGTCAACCAGCATGACCATGCTGGGTGACTATCTAAACCAGTACCAGACCATCTTAGACTAGCATAGAATGCATGCAGGGTAGAAGGCAACATTAGGCTGCTTCCACACCTACCTTGTTTGGTAGGGACCAAACAAATTTTTTCTTTGGTGCGGTCTGTTTTGATAGATGTGAACTCTCTACCTGCACTTCGGTAAACAAATGAACCGTGTTGACCATGGTCTGCCAAAAATCGGTCCACTTTTACAGTTTGCTGCTGGTGGGAACGCATGTTCGTGATGAGAGATTTCAACACAAGAGAATGCTTTTCTCAGAGCTGCACTTCCACATAATCTATTTGTTTTAACATTTGACAGTTTCTAGATGCTTGTATTATTCCTGCAGCATGAGCACTAGCAAAGCATTTTATTTGGACTGTATTTTTGATAGGTTGAGCTGGACATTGGCATCCTGATGCATAATTAAATCAAGTTATTGAATCAAATTATTTTTATTACTTTGATTGCGATACATGTAAACGTTAAGCGTCTTTATTACTATGTAACAGTGGGTATGATAATACATATTATCAATACTAAAAGCGAGGGATAGATCTGAATTGTAAACTATGATAGGTGAAAATATCCCTGTCAAGTTTCTGACCAATCGAAGAACACCCACATGTATTATTTGGTGCAAAAGTTACATTGTCAACAAAAACCCAAACTCTGGCCTTTAGCAAATGAACCAAGTGGTGTCCTGGAAGGGCCAAATAGCAGAAATTTCAAGATGGCGGCACAGTGGAGGATTCCCATAGTGTAGTTCAAAATTACTGCTGTTTCTTGACACTGGAAGGATAAGCGTAAGCTCCAGGTCATCCATTCTTCATGCCCTCCACATGCTGTAAGAGCTGAGAGCGGGGGAGCAGGTAGAGTTTGACCTCCACAGAGCCATGGCCAGAGGTCATAGGGCAGTGCTTTAAGGGCAGCTAGGGTCATACTGCTAAAGACAAGCCAATACTTCAATAAACAGTCAACAGTGCAATTCGGCTGTACACACATGCGAACGCATGCTTGCAATTAGGACAGATTGACTCAATACATACAAACACACACATACAGGCAAACTCAGCTTATAACAGCGTTTTCAAAATCAGGTTAAATTACAAGTCTGCTGTAGAATCTAGAGCAGCGGGATACAAGTAAGTTACACAGTTACCTTTCATGTGTGTAAAATGGTTAAACAATCTGGTCAAAAAATTTATTTAAACTCAATAAAAATGATTGAATGCCACATAGAGTACAAGCTTGGATTAAAGCTATATGAATTAATATTAATATATGAATCTATAATTATATGAATACTTCAAAAATACAAAATCATTATTTAATATTTACATCTTTATCCACATATATGTATATATATATATATATATGTATATATATATATATATGGTTCCATTGACTTACATTAAAAGCAGAGTATGTTTTTACCCAAGTTCCCATTTTGGAGACACAAGGTTTCCAACAGCAGCAATCAAATCCTCGTATCTCCAAAATAAGAACTTTACAGGTAAAAACATACTCCACTTTTTTCCAAGTCATTTTGGGTCATTTCTGTTGGTCCATTCATCATGAAATTTACATTTAATTATAGAGCACATTTACATTTGATTTATTATACAGGATTCAGGGCCTGAATAGGAATGTTGTCTGTAGTTTTATAGCACTTTGAATATGAAAATCTTTTTTTACAGTGTAACTGTAAATCATTACTGTAAGCAATGCCTTACGTCGTCCACTGAGGCCTTTGCCAACCCCCTCATTCAAACGCTTCACGTTGCCATGGGAACGGGATGGAAGCTATCCAGGCAGCCCAGTGTTCTTTGGGGGAGGGGGTGCAACCGGGTTTATAAGAGTGCTGTGCGGAGTGCAGTGGGATACAATAACCTCTGACCCAAACACACACACACGCACACATACACGCGCTCACACACTCCAGTGTTTGGCACTCTCTTGTTGGCAGCCACTCTGTGTTAGCTGAAAGCCTTTCATCAGTCTCAAGGTCTCGGCCTTTTCATACCTGCCTCTCGTCTCTTTTCACTGCACTCATAGACACACTCACTCTCCCTCTCTCACACACGTGTATGCTCTCTTTCTCGTTCTCCCTGCAGTGAAGTACCCAAGCTGTAATTTGAATTGTCCAATTGGTTTTGTCATTCACCTAGGCCAGACTAGGCCTTTGTGCTTCATATATTCACTGTCTCGCTCGCTCTCTCTCTCGCTCTCTCTGTCATTAGCTTTAGTGGGAGGGTGTGGGGCTTTCTCTGTATGCATAGCTTGTCTACAGTCAGTGTCTTTTTCAAGCTAGAATATCTATCAGTTGACCCAAGTCAATTATTTGCACAAGGGCATTGTGGGCCTGTGATTGCTTACTGTCTTTTAAAAAAGGCTTTCACTGCTCTGTTTATACAACACACCTTGTGAAGAGGCATGACAGATGTGACTGAGTGTCGTTTTGGGTGTACACGACGCAATGGGGACTTAGATTAACATCTGTTTAGGAAACAGATGCATGGTGTTTATTTGTAAGGCTGTGCATGTTCAACTGCATGATCCTTATCAGTTGTGTTTATTTCTTTATTTAAGTGTAACACCATTTTATGGTCCAACTCTGGATGCTGTGTAGATGCTCACCTTGTCTTTAACTTAGAATTAAATTCAACTTATAGTGACGGGTCAGATTTATACAGGTTTCCCCCTCTACCCAAATCTGTTTGAGGAACTGAGATGTGTTTGGTGTCCTAAGTTTGCACTGAAGCTATGAGGCTAATGTAGCTAACAAGTAATGGAAACTCACAGCCAGCAGTTTAGCACTGTGCAAACTGCATGTCTAAATCTTTTACATCCATGTCAAATTGTTCAGTAATCTCAACTTAACCTGCTTATGTGGTTTCTGATACATGGTTTCTGATACATGACACACTGTGATGTATAAAAAGGCTGCTACTGCTGTTTCTTTTGCAGTGCAACCAAAAAAACAAGTATTGTGTACAAATTTCATGATGGATGGACCAATAGAAATGCTCAGAAATTGCTTGTAATAAATCTATTTACATTAACTTACACTGGACAGTGATGATATTCAAGATACAATATGCACTACTCACTGTCCACTCTTAAAAAAGATGGTTCTTCAAGATTTCCTTAGTAAAAAGAATGGTTCTAGTTAGAACCATAAGTTCTATATAGTCCCATTCCATGCTTAAAGGAGTCTTTGCATGGCAAAATGTTTCTGAGACTGATAGAGAATGTGTTGCAAATGGTTCTGTATAGAATCTTTTTCAATATGGTTCTATATAGCATCAAAAAGGGTTCTGTTATTATTAGGATGTCAAGCTTGTAACAACAGAAGAACCCATTTTCTATAATGGTTCTAAATAGAACCACTCCCTTTACCGATGAACCATCTTTTTTAAGTGCGTATTTCTGCATATTGTTCTTTAATGACTGCAGTGGCACTTTGTTATGGCCATCACTGAACTTCAGCGCACTTTAACTGGACATGGACGTCCAATGCCATTTCAGACAAGTCTGTTTGTTCTGTTTTACTGTGTGCATTTTTATCTTCCATTCAGAGGCAGAGCCAGCAGGGGAGAGGCTCCAGGCTCTACCCTTAGGATGATCAACTATTCTAATACATGTAACAGAATTCTGGTAGATGTTATTATAACACAGTGATGTTATTATACAGTGATATAAATAACACAACAGGACAAGTTACAGTATTTGATCACTTTACTTAAGCCCTGCTACGTACATTGACATAATCATGCCATAAACATGTCATGGCAGATGTCATATGCTGTCATGTGTTGTCATGACAGATTATGTCCAGTAATACAACAGTGCCATGCTGTCATGACAGATGCCGTAATATTACCCAGTATTTTGGAGGTACATTAAAAAACGCTACAGGGCAAGGAAACCAGACAGCCATGACTTAATATTCATGCAAACTAGCAAGAAATGGTTAAGCACTAATCAGCAGCCTTAAAGTGAAAACAAATAACAGAGAATAGCTCACTCACTCACTTACTCCTATAATTTCAGCATCTAACTCCAGTAACCAAAATGAAAAGAATCATATATGATAGCTAATAAAGTGAAAAACATCAGAGGGATGGCAGGCCTTGCAATTATAACAAGGGAGATGAAAATGTGTTAATAATAAAAATAGCAGTGGCAGCAAACCATCACTTATCAGTGCTAATAATTATTAATGTTGTAGCAGTAGAAATGTTTTTAATTTGTGTGTGAAGCTGTCCAGGATTTTCTTGGATAGTCCTGGATTTTGGATGTCCAAAATTTTGTTTATCCAAATCATCTGTACACAAAGAATGGGTTTGATTGGTACAGATTACCCTCATTGTAGGGACAGTTGTTTGGGAAAGGTGCACGGTTGGTGACATGTATAGGCTCTAGGCAGGTTAAATTGATCTATCTACCTTAGACTGGAGCACAAGCACAGTCACCCATCCACTGAATTTAGCAAAAATTCAAGTCACTGATCAAGCGTCCAGGGCAGCCATAGAGAAGATGTGCATGTAGTGCTGGTAGAGCCCACCACCAATGTTTGGCCTACCTTGTGAAGGAGGAATCCTGGTCTAAGCCCTAAACTTTCCAATCAGCTGAACATTTCAGAAATTGGTAGATAAGCTGTAAGGGACTAATAGGACAGGTCTGCTGAGAGATTGAAGAATATTCTCTCTCTCTCTCTCTCTCTCTCTCTCTCAGCTGTTGCTATGGCTGCTGCTACAGTAGAGCCGTCACCTCCGCCACGCTTAGGTAAGTAACCATGCTGTTAAACATGTTTATTCAGCCCACTTGTGGAGTCAAGTCAAGAAGCAGCTGCAGGAGAGATTCATTCTGCTTCAAGGAGAGCACAAAAATAACTCCAGTCATGCTACGTGGGAAAAAAACACAGCATTAGCATAGCCTGAGGCACACAGAGCTACGCTAAACACGGCCTACACACTGATATCACCAGCTGAGGTTAAATGCAATCATATTCAAGACTGGACTTAAATGGATTTTATTAGAAACACATCTTGTTCTTCCACTTAATGACCACTTTATGAGCTCCATCTACCTTCTATTCATGCACATTCTGTCAACCTCCCTTTAGCCCATTCAGTAATGGTTTCCACAGGAACACTGTTGACCAGATATGATTTGGGTGGTGGACTGCAGAGATACTAACATACAGTGTGATAGTGTGTGCTGCACTGATACAAGACCATCAGGCACAGCAGCATTGCTGGAACTTTTACACATTTGTTAGGTTAAGAATGTCTGAAAAATATCCAAACAAGAGTGGTGCTGCAGCCATTGATGAAGGCCTAGATGATGGCTAACATAACATGCATGGAAACAGATGGGCTACAACTGCATGTGATACACGGGTATATATATATGAGCATTATAGCAATTTAGCCTAGTGCTAGAAAAGTTTCTACCTCACCAAAAAGAAAAAAAAAACAGCATAGTTGGTCACCAGCAAAGCCAGCATATGTTGTGTTTTGAATGTTGCTCTGCTGGTCAGCAGCAATGGAAGTTAATATACCGATTACCACCAAAACCAGCATAAGTTTGTGTTTTGAATGTTGGTATGCTGGTCAACCAGCATGACCAAGCTGGGTGACCAGCTAAACCAACACTAGGCCAGTGTAAACCGGTTTAGACCAGCATGGAATGCAACATGTGGAGTATACCCAATTTGTTACTATGTGCATAAACCTTGACATTTCCTCTCAGGGGAATCACCAATGCTATCTAAAGGGTTGTTGCATTGCCATTAGCTCAACTATGCCAGCATGGACCAGCTTGGCTGGTCACCAGCAAAACCAGTATATGCTGTGTTTTGGTGGCTGGTGTGCTGGTCAGCAATGATGGAAGTTGATATTCTGATCACCAGCATAAGCAGCATATGTTATGTTTTGGATGCTGGTGTGCTGCTAAACCAGCCAAACCAGCTCAGACCAGCATGGCCTGCTTGTTGGTCTGGGTTGTTTTAATCAGCAGGGAAGTCTATGAGTTGACCCCTTGGAGGGCGAGGGATTGAGCCAACATATCTGCAGATGTAGCTGCAGAACTCTCCCCGAAATCAATGTGATGTGATGCAGTTTTCTTTTGTAACAAATAGCAGATTATTTTCTTTTTGTATCTTAGTTTAACCTTTTTTCTGCAGGTCCCCTGGCAGCCATTCTACCAGCAGAATGGAAACTGATGGAGGTTGTTTTTGAATGAATAATTGACCAGGAAAGATTAATCATTGTGCATTTCCTAGTACATATATTACATAAAACATAAAATATATTTTTGACCAAACAGTACTCATAGTCGGTATACAGGCGGTGGTCAAATTCAAAAAAGGCCAAAATACAGAGAATGACAAACATAACAAACAATATCAGGCAACCAGATTCAAAAGGGCAAAGACAAAGACACAAAGTCAGCCCAAAAACACAGTCAGGAAAACATGAAGAGAATATACGCTTAGTAGTGCTACAGGGAGAAGCAATACCTCGCAAAGACCCTATACTAAAGCCTGAGGCCCTTCTATACCAAGATAAAATCAAACAGCACAACTGCAGCTTTCTTCATTTGATAATAAAAAAAATTAACCCGGTTTGCATTGAAGTCTTTCTAGTTACTGAATAATCTTATCTAATAATAAGTCTTAGTATGTAATAAGCCTGGGTGAAACACAATAAAACACTTTTATAAATGTTAACTTGCTCACTACCCTACAAAGATGGAAATGTAGTTCACCTTTGGTTTTGTAAATCATACTCATTTCCATCCATACTTATTGCATCAACATTATTGATGAGAAAAATGCATAGTGCTAAAGCTGAGGGACCTCCAAAACAGACTGATGTTGCATTTTATGGCTACTGTGAGTGAAGGGTTTAGGTGTTTCTTGGAAAAGTACTTTCCAGGAAAGCACACTTTTTCTTGCGTATGGTTTAGACCACTCTGCACATCTCTGTTTGGAACACAGCCATAAATCTAGTCTTACAAATGTGCATGTGTGTGTTTTCTTGGCACTGCTGCTCTGTACTGGATCTCGCAGCGCAAAAAAAACAGAAGAATTTATATATGCACACACACACACACACACACACACTTGCTCAGCATGGTCTCCCCTGTAAAAGAATTATTATTTGGAGAATAAACACACATGCCTGGTCTCACCCGAGTCCTCCGCTGAGGTTAAGCTCACTCATTACTCATGTAAGCTGCAGTCTAAACAGCGTGTCAGACAACATACAACAGCTTAATGATCAGTATTTAGCGACAGTCTAAAACACACTGTGACACAGCAGCACAAACACAGCTCCGCGTCAAAAATTAACGACTCAGATTTCTTTACAGTGGTGGTGATAGGAACCAGGAGTCACCATCTGTGCAACACAAATATAGCCATTTTACTTACTAACCAAAACCACCAGTGAACCTGCGTGTGCCTTCTGAGTTTTTTAATGTAATTCTGATGATGGTAAAATAGTGGTAAATCTGGAATCTTTTTTCAGGAACTATTTTGCCTTACAGCTCTCTGCATGCACCCCTCTGCCATGGATGAATTTGAAAAAGTATGTTTTAGGCCAAAGCTTCCTCTCAAAACTATTGTAAAACAAAGTATCAGACATCAGGCAGCGTAATTAACATTAACTATTTTGTGTAATAACTTTTACCACCACTGTGAGCAAAACTCTTAATGATGTTATAATGCAGAAATGTGGAAAAACCAATGGAGTTCTTCTTTAAACGCAATGAGCTCCATGTCTCAGGAACAGGATACTCTTTTTAGGTGGTAAGTTGATGCATTTGAATGAGTAGTAGGTAAACGCAAGACAGAATGCAAACAGCAGAGACAATTGCTAAACATTTCAAAATGAACATATATAATCTTATATGGAACATGTTGTATGTAAATTGTATATAACAAAAAACAAACATACAATTTGTTAGGTTGAAAACAGGCAAAACTAGCTTTTTCTCCAAAGCTACCTACCAGAATCCATAGTGCCAACAGTAAAGTTTGGTGGAGGGGGGATAATGGTCTGGGCTGTTTCTCAGCGTTTGGGCCTCATAGTTCCAGAGAAGGGTAATGTTAATGCTACAGCATACAAAGACATTTTACACACTTGTATTCTTCCAACTTTGTGGCAACAGTTTGAGGAAGACCCTTTCCTGTTACTGTTCCAGCACAAAGTGAGGTCCATAAAGACATGGTTTAATGAGTTTGGAGTGGAGGAACTCCAGTGGTCTATCTATTGACTGAATGAGCGCAACTTCCCACAGACACACTCCAAAATCTTGTAGAACGCTTCCCAGAAGAGTGGAAGATGTTATAGCTGCAAAGGGGGGCAATTCCATATTAATACCCATAGTTGTGGAATGGGGTGTCCAGAAAGCTCATAAAGGTATAATGGTCAGGTGTCCACATACTTTTGGCCATGTAGTGTAGCTCTTTAGAGAGTTATTAATATGCATTACGAATGTGCATGTGTGTGGAAAAAGGTCACACTGTCAGGTTTAATCAGATTGATATTTATTTATATATTTTATTTGTGGGTATGTTTCCTTCTGAGCGTCCCTTCAGGCGAGGACATTGAATAGCGCTCTTGGATGTTGATTGAGGTTAATTATCTGTGTAACACTGTAAGGAAGCGACACTGCGGACTGGAACGAACGCTGAGAATGATGAGGCGACATTGCAGAAGGACGGCAGCAGCTCTATTACCATGCTGACTGACACAGAGAATCGCCTGGTGATTAGAAGAGAACCCAGTTTTCAACACAAATTCTGAAGGCTGAACTACATTCATCTGCCTAAGGGAGCCGGTTCAGTACAGTAACCACCAAATCAGACATCCATGCCTCCACTCAACACACACAAACTCTCTTTCTCTCTTTCTCTCTCTCTCTCTCTCTCTCTCCCTCTCTCTCTCTCTCTATTGCGCTCATATTTCTTTTTCTCCCCACAGACAGCAGCAGAAAATAACAGCAATAAAGCGCAGTGGTGGGAGTGTGTGTGCTATCACACACACGCTAAACCACCTGGGGGGAGCATATCTGTCAAAATCAGAGAGTGGGAGAAGGAAACGGGGAGAGAGAGAGAGAGAGAGAGAGTCATGATGATGATGATGATGATGATGATGATGAGCCTTGGTCAAAAGAAAATTGGACTAGGACTACTTGGGCAATCACTGTATCTGCACAAACAACCTCTCTCTCTCTCTCTCTCTCTCTCTCTCTCTCTCTCTATATATATATATATATCTTTTTCTCTGTCTCTCTATCACTCTGTCTTTTTCTATCTGCCTCTCTCTTCCTCTTTTTCTCTCTGACCCTCTATTTCTCTGTTTTTTTCTCTATTTTTTCTCTCTCTATTTCTCATGCTTCCTCTGTTTTCTATATCTCTCTCTTTATTTTTCTCTCTTTCTCTCTTAGTTTCTTATTCTCTCTTTCTTTGTCTCTTTTTTGATCCTTCTCTCTGTCTCTCTTTCTCTCTCTTAGTCTCTTTTTCTTTCTCCCTCACTACATCCCTTTCTCTCTCTTTGTCTCCCCCTGTCTCTCTCATTATTCTTTCTTTCTTTTACTCTGTCTCTCTCTGTCTCTCTCACTCTCTCTTCTCTCCACATCTCTCCCTCTGTCTTTCTCTCTTTGTCTCTCTTTCTCTCTCTTAGTTTCTTATTCTCTCCTTCTTTGTCTTTTTTATCCCTCTCTCTTTAGATTTCTCTTTCTCTTATTGTCTCTCTTTCCCTCCATTTTTGTCTCTCTCTTTGTCTCTGTCTTTTTCTGTCTCTCCCTCCATCTCTCCCTCTTTCACTCTTCCTTCTTCTCTCTCTCTCTCTTTCTTTCAATGTCTTTCTCTCTCTCTTTCTATCCATGTCTTTTTCTCTTTGCCCCTCTCTATTTCTGTTTTTTCTCTTTCTGTTTCTATTATTCTCTGTCTCTCTTTATGTCTCTTAGTTTCTTATTCTCTCTTCCTTTGCCTCTTTTTCTGTCTGTCTGTCTCTCTGTTTCCCACTTTCTCCCTCTTTGTCTCTTTTTCTGTATCTCTCTAGTTCTCTCTCTCTCTTTGTCTCATGCTATCTCTCTCACTCTCTGCATTTCTCCTTCTGTTTTTGTTTCTCTCTTTCTGTCTCTTTCTCATAATTTTTATTCTTTCTTCCTTTGTCTCTTTTTCTGTCTGTTTTCTCAATCTCTAGGTCTTTCTTTTACTTTTTCTTTGTCTCTCTCTCTCTCTCATTCTCTCTCTTTGTCTCTTTCTATTTCTCTCTCATTCTCTCTCTCTCTCTCTCTCTCTCTCTCTCTCTCTCTCCACCCTGCTGGGAGCTGAGCTGCTCTTCAATATCAGTCTGTCAACAGCAGTCTGAGTCAATACAGCAGTGTTGGCGCTCACACTGTACCCAATCACTCGTCTCCTGCTCGTTTCCCTCGTTCTTTCTCTCTGTTAGGAAATCTGTCTCTTCCCTCGACGTACAGTAAGTACATATTACATTCACATGAACATTACAATGAAACAAAAC